CTAAAGACATCACTCTTATCTGTATATCTGTAGCAACAGAAAGCAAGAAACAGATTTTAGGACAATTCTAGAATGAGCCTTCAGGAAGGAACTTTTTCTGCACTTATATTCACAATCTAACCAAAGAGTTTAATTCCATATCATAATAAGCAATGGGAAAAGTAATGAGACAGCATTTCTTTTTCAGGGATGCTTTCTAGCCCACTGAGAGACACTTATCTCTCCAAACCTATAATAAAGTAACAGAGATGGATGAAGAACAAACAAGTATTTATTAACAATAGTCAATACAGCAAAAATAGGAACGTCTATACTTGCCTATGTGTGCATATAATGTACATTGTCAACATCCAGACGTTAATCAAGGAAGGACATTATTCATACAACAAGTATTTATTTTGTAATGTACTCAGATGAAAGCAAAAAGGGGTATCTCCTACATCTGAATAAAAGGCAAGGACAGCAAAGGTACAGAGTCAATGAATTAAAATTGTTTTTGAAAGACATTAATCTAGGCTTAGCAAATAGCAAAGTATCAAATGACACAACTCTGGTTAACTTCAGCATATGTTGATAAGCAGTTAATCCATGCTACCTTGCAATTCAAAACAAGTCCCACTAGAACAGTACAATAATTATCAAACAGAGCAGTAATATAAAGTGAAAGAGACATCAGATTCACCTGAAGTTTTGAGATAACTCAGGAGCTCTATATGCATTTGGTGATCTATACAATTTGGGCATAAGATTAGCTAGACCACAATCTGCGAGCTTGGGTTCGAACTCTGCATCCAACATCACATTACTAGGCTTGAGATTATAATGCAACACACTAGGATTGCATTCAAAATGCAGGAACTTGAGTGCCTTTATAGTCCCCACAGCAATTCGAAGCCTAACATCCCAACCCATTTGCAAATGATTGAGACGAACTTTACTCATAGCATCTTCAAGGCTCCCTGTGGGCATATAATCATAAACTAAGCTGAAACGATCAGATTCACGAACGTAAGCCCTCAAACTCATCAAATGCCTATGTCTTAACCCAGCAAGAACCTGAAGCTCCTGCTGTAATTTCCTCTTCAAGCCCTTATTGTGAGTTTCCGGAGACCCAATTTCAAAGGGCTCGAGGCTCTTGACCGCGATATTCAGACCATTATCAAGAGAAGTTCTATAGTAAGTCCCATTTGGACTAGATCCTATAAGCTGATTTTCATTTTCTAGGGCTAAACGAAGTGTTTTCGGATCGATTTTCGGGGAAAATACAACAGGGCCTTTGAGGATAGGAGCTCTATTAATATACTGAACAAAACATCTGATCATAGCAGCAACAAGAATAGCAGCAATAGAACCACTAATAATTCCAGAGAAAATGCTAAATGCAACCCTTTTAACTTCAATTTTCAAAGCAGGGGAAGAAACAGGTGGTGGGGATTCTGACTCCATTAACATATGCTTAATCATGAATCCATGGCAAGGTACAGAAATCATGAAAACCCATGAAATTAAGAGCAGAAAATGAAGATAAGTGTAATTTTTCATTGACAAAACTGAAAACCCTAAGCCACAATTATCTCAAAATTGGTATACTTTCATGCCCAGGATAAAGAAAGAGCTCAAGAAGGGCAAACCTGTCCAGAAGATAAAGTGAAACCCAGAATTCAAAAGTTGGAGAGAAATCACAGAATGAAGAGACTGCTAAGTTTCAGATTTCCATGTCCAACCTTTTGAGCTTTCAAGAAAAGAAATGGAGAGAGAATACTCCCAATAGTCCTAGGCTACTACCATTTGAGATTTGACACAAAGCTAAAGCCTTTTTTTTAGCATAGGCATATAAGGGTAAGTTTATCCCAAGACCCATATGTACACGTCATACTCTGTCACGTTAACTTTACGCTAATTTAAATTATTTTTTATTATTTAGACTTATACTAAACTTTTTCTAATTTAATACTTTATCCCAGCACTCACTTCGAACTCACTTACCCTCCTAAAAAATATAAACACGCATTATTAAAATATCAATAACTATTTTGAGCTGATGAGCTGCCAACAAAAAAAAATCAGAATTCTTTTTCAAATTGTAGAGTCTTAAGATGAGTTTTGGATTTCAAAACTCATCTCAAGACTACATATAGTCTTGCACCACATTATTGCAAAAAACACAAGTGTTGTATGTGAGTCTTGAGTCAAGACTAGGGATGTCAATGGGGCGGGACGGGGCGGATTTCGACCTTCCCATCCCCATCCCCATCTAAAATTTTCATACCCATCTCCATCCCCATCCCAGTGGCGGGTCTAAAATTCATCCCCATCCCCGCCCCGTCGGGTACAATTCCAAAACCATCCCCGCCCCAACCCCCACTTGGATATCCACCCCCACCTAATCCCCACCTAAGACCCGCCTGATCCCCGCCTCCCAAATGCACAATCCTTCACAATTAATAAAGATTGCAAAAAGAAAAAAATCATTGTTAATAAAACACATTTTTTTGTTTATAATACAAGTGTATTACAAAGTATTATAATATACTATTTTATTTTACATAATTTTTTTTATAAAATAGTATAAAAGTATATAATTTTGTTTTTAAAAATACATGGATGTGGGGATGGGGCGGGTACAAAGTGGGGTGGATGGGGATGGGGCGGGTACGAAGTGAGGCGGGTACGAAGTGGGGTGGGTGGGGCGGGGCGGGGATGGGGCGGGTATAACCTAAAATCCACCCCCGCCCCATCACCCATGGCGGGTATGATTTTTATCCCCATCCTCGCCCCATCACCCGCCAAACCAAGACCCATCCCACCTCGTTGGGGCGGGTCTCCTATTTGACCCGCCCCATTGACATCCCTAGTCAAGACTAGGCCTAGTTATTAGGTAGGGCTACCCAATGGCAAAAGGATCGGGCCTAATACTAAAGGGTTTTGACCGTTTAATTTTTTAATGGACAAAGCTTCTATAGGGTCTTATTTTATAGGGTTTTTATAGGGTCTTATTTTATAGCCCAATAATTTAAGAATTAAATTAAAAAAACCCAATAATAATGGTAAGGGTCTGCCCTCACTTCCATTTTCTCTCCTTTCTCCTCTGTTCTTCCGCCCACCTTTCTCTCTCCTCCATTGAAGCGCACTCAGAGTTCTCCATTGAAGCCGCGCACTCAAAGTCTCAGGTATCATCATTTTCTCTCCCTTAATCTGTTCTTCAATTTTAATATCAGATTGAAGATATGGTTTAGGTTATATAGGTTGATATAATTATATAATTTGTAACTTAATATTTGATTGAAAATCTGGTTAAGATTTTGAGAATTGCTATTGTTTGATTAGCTACTAATATGCATAATTCTTGAAATTTGATTTTTTTTTTTACTTGATTTTAGTTTTAGAGAATCATGATCGTCTGCGGATTCGATTTAATTTTTATGAAAATTTGATGAATTTAGATATGATGTGATCGAAAATCAATTCAAATTGAATTTTCTTCTGGGTGATTTTGCTACTTACTTGAGCTTGGAAAGTGATAAAAGGATTGTGGGTAAATTTGCTACTTATGAGTTTGTTGTTCTTGGTGTTGCTAATGCTGATTTATTTTGGTGTTTTCATATGATTTAATTATAATTTGGGAGTTTTTTTTTTGCTTGATTTGATATTTGCTTGATTTGATTATAGTAGTATAAGAATTGACTAAATTAGCATAATTGTAGAACGAGAAAGCAAATGTGGTTCAATTGTGTTGTTATTTGATGCCATTATTGATTACTTTCCCCGCTCTCTTTTAATTGCAATGTGGGGGATGCACATTTTTGTGAGAAAGGACAGGGAGATAAATAAGGGACCTGTGTGTTGACTGTTAAGATTCAGTGTAGTTGTGATAAGAGCTTAGCTTTGTATAATAACTCCCATTAACTATTGGTAATCTTTCAGCTTGCATAATTGTTCCTTAATATGGCCGTGCAACCACAAAGAGAGATTTATTGAAGGCTTATGTATTAGAGAGGGATAAATTGAAAGATTTGTTGTCTAATGTTTCTGGTAGAATTTGTTTAACAACCGATAATAGGAAATCAAATCATACTAGACAACATTTCATTTGTGTCACTTCTCACTTTGTTGATGATTCTTGGAAACTCCGTAAAAAAATTCTTAGGTTTAGGGCCGCTCCTCCATATGATGGGGTACGTACTGCTAATGAGATTTGTATGTTTCTTTGCCTATGGAAATTAGATGATAGGATACTCTCCATCACCGTTGATAATGCAACTTATAATGATGCAATGATATCTTGTTTGAAGAGACATCTTGTTCCTAGAGGAGGGTTAAGTTGTGGTGAAACATTGTTTCATGTGCGGTGTTGTGCCCATATTATTAATCTTATTGTGCAAAAAGGATTGACTTGTATTAGTGGAATTTTGGATAAAATTTCGTTCATTTATAAAGTTGATCATCAAATCTTCTCATAGAAGTGAAGAATTCCATGATTGTGCGGAGAAGATATTTCACCTTGATGTAAAAAGGAAATTGAACCTTGATATGCACGTTCGTTGGAATTCCACATATAAAATGCTTGGCACTTCTCTTTACTTCAAAGATGTTTTTCTTCACTTGAGATCTAGTCATGCTTCATTTCAATCATATATTCCTTTAGAGGATGAGTGGGAAAAAGTAAGCGTGATTCACAATTTTTTGGAGTTGTTTTATGAGGTTACTTGTATGTTTTTGGCGGTGAATTATCCTACTTCTAATGTGTATTTTAAAGGTGCATGGATGGTGCATCGCCATTTGCTTGAGGCGGAGAAAGGTCCTTATAATTATTTAAAGGAAATGGTGAAACCAACGCTTGAAAATTTTGACAAGTATTGGTCAGATTACAATTTGTACTTGTCATGTGTTGCCATTCTTGATTCGAGGTACAAAGTGAAATTAAATTTGTGGAATATTGTTTTAGTCAGTTAAATGAAAGTGTAGAGGTCTCAAGACGAATTAACTTGGTGTTGGGAACTATGAAGTCAATGTTTGAGGACTATAAGTTGCAATATGCTAGTAGTTCACCTATTGTAGTTGCTCCTTCTCCTCGTAGTACTTCCGGAGCTAGAAAATACTTTGATGATTATGACCATTTTGTCGGTACTAGTGCAAGATCTCAAGTAGGAAATTCACAACTTGAGATGTACCTAGATGATGATGCTTTAGATCTCAATTCACAATTAGATATTTTGGAGTTTTGGCATCAAAGTTCTTTGAGGTATCCTGTGGTATCTAAGATGGCACGGGATTTGTTGACTATTCCTGTAAGTACTGTAGCTTCGGAGTCTGCTTTTAGTATTGGAGGAAAGACTGTTTCGGCATCGCGAAGTTCATTAATGTCAAAAACAATTCAAGCTTTAGTATGTATGCAAGATTGGCATCGTGAAAGCAATCATGTAGAGGTTGATAGTGAACTTGAAGATGAAATCATTGAAGAAGAAGAGGATGATGATGCAGACCCATTCTACTAGGTAATATTCTCCTGTTCATTTCTCTACTTATATTTCTGTTTTTTAGTCACATTACATTAAAGTAGTAAAGATTTACTTGGCAGTGTGTAGATTTGCTTTGCTAACTGTTTCTGTCCTTGCTGGGAGCAGCTTTTGTCTGCTGGCTTCTGTTTTATTTATTTATTTATTTTTTTTCTGCTGGGGGCTGCTGGTCTTGTTTTCTGTATGTTGCTGGCTTTTTGGTTCTGTAGTTGCTTGTGTTGGTGTGGCTGGGAGGTGCTTTGTAGCTGCTGTTGTTGCTGGAGGCTATTCTGAGTTCATGAAGCACTCAGAGCCAAAGAGCTTGTTTGCGATATTCCTACTGCTGCCATTGCAAGTGCAAAGAAAACCTGCAGTAGTATAAGATTTGTCAGACACGTAAACTTAAATATATTACATGAAATGTTAGACTAAAATTCTTTTGTTTTCTTTAGTATGTAACATTTTTATATCCTATTGCGGCTTTGAGGTTCTGAACTTCTGAAACTAGTTTCTGTTTTGTTGGTAAACCAACTAGCATGGTGCAACGATAACCATCTTGTGTTGTCAGTGTAAGTTAGCTAGTATGTATTGTAGAAGTTTTAACAAATGCCATCAACCATAGAAACCCCCCTGCCCCCAATTCATACTGTGTTTCTTTTTGAAAGGAACTGTCCAACTGAAAGCACTTGAAATCTAATAGCAGAAAGTAGAAGTTAATGGCCCGTTTCACTTTTACCTTGACCCTGACCCGCATTGACCCGGACCCGACCTTGACCCACCCCGCTAATGACCCGCACCGACCCGCCCAATAACCACCCCTAGTCAAGACTCGCCAATAAACTTACCCTAAGATTAGAGTATCTATTTAGGCTAGAATTTATTCATCTTATTTCCATTTACATATGAACTAATTTATTTTTGGGAATTTTGTTAGAAACAATCTTTTGAAATGCTTTTTTTTTTTTTTTTTTTTTTTTAGAAATAACCTTATAAGTTTTTTTTGGGTAATTTCAAACTTGAATATAAAATAAGTTAGGGATTGATGTCAATAGAGAGTAACATCTTGGCTTGACTTAGAGGCATTTTTTGAAGAGTCAATGCACAACAAGGCATAGCTAAGGCATCTTAAACACTTGGACAATGTAGAAAACCTCTCACCCTTACAAAAAAAAAACACATTTATGCCAATGGAGAGTAGCATCTTGGCTTGCCTTAGGGACATTTTTTGGAGAGCCAATGCATAACAAGACATAGCCGAAGCATCGTAAAAATAATTACAAGTGGTGCAAAATCACGAAACAAGATATGAATCAGATGATTCCAGGTACGGATCGAATAGACCTCCTAAGGTCCTTTGGGCACCTTAATGTATATCCTTGTCAGGTCTAGATCACTTGTATGAATGTTATAATACACAAAATGGACTAATTTCGAAAGGTTCAAAGTCCAGTGTTTAATTGAAAATTTAAGTTATGGTGAAGGACATTCCCCGGGTAATAAAGCATTCTGCGAACATATTTTTCCGCTATGATCACATAAAGGCAAGTTGTAGTCTCGAGTCAATGACGAGAGAGGGGGCAAATATGTACTAAACTAAATTGGTCGTGAAAAGGCAAAGTGAATAGTTCTAATTACTCATGTGGCCTCCCATGGTTTCGTGGGGCACATGGAAAACATCTCGTCTAATTTTCTTCCAAAGTCCAATAAAATGAAGTGACGGTAAAGGCTATGATACACGAAATCATTTCATTTGCGGAGATTTCAAGACCCAGTGTCATAAACTGAAGTGACGGTGGGAGGTGTATCACGGAGTCATATAATGTTGTTTGGAATTGTATATTCCCCCTTAGCCAGTAATATAAATATATAAGTATTTTTTTTTTTTTAAAAAAAAAAGCATATATAAATTGTCCCTCATTACCAAAACTAACAACTCATGAACCATCACATTCCCAGAATCACTAGACAGACTGAAGACTAGAAATTTATGTTTCTCGATCATGAAACCAAACCCGAAAACTGTACATCTTCGATCCAGTCCAAGATTATTGAACACCCTAGTTACTACACCCATCAACCTTGATACTATATTCATAGAAACCAATGTGTACAATAGCCGTAAAGGCAATAGCTTCATCAGTTCATCCCTAAATCCCTTCCACACCCAAAACCCCAAAAACTAGGTATTACGCGTACTTAGCCTATTCTTTTGCAAGACAAAGCATCAATTGCTAAATCTTTTAATCACTGTTACGGTTAAACGTATTTTTTCCCCTCAACTTGGTAACTAACTTCATTAACAGTCAAGAATATTTCAATTTAATATACTTATTTCTCATTAATTAAGCTAGCTTTAAATGTCAAAATAAAGAAATACCCCTTTTCTTCCTTCATGTTAAAGTGATTCCATATAATGTGAAATGCAAAAAGGCTACACCATGGAAATATTTACAATCAAACAAAAGGTCGGTCCATTTTATGTTTGTACATTATATATATATATATATATATATATATATATATATATATATATATATATATATATATATATATATATATATATATATATATATATATATATATATATATATATATATATATATATATATATATATATATATATTCTACATGATGGCCTCCTACATCCAATTTTTCTACGTGAAAAATAAACTTTTTTCCAATTCTCTTAAGTGGCACCCAAGTTTGGAAAAATTAAGTATAGTGCCCTTTTTGGGGTTTGATGACTAACTTTTTTAGTTTTTTTGGTTAACCATAATTAAATAAAATAAATAAATAAATAATTTTTTTTTTTTAAAAAAACAAGCCAGCCACCCATGGCAGCCGCCACCTGCCGAACGCCACTGCCCCCGGCGCCGGCGCGCCTGACCCCCTTCCCCGGCGCCGGCGCCACCCTGACCTCCCTCCCTTTCCCCTCCCTAACCATCGTAACCCCTACCCATTCCAATCGAAAACCCCTAAAAGTCATCAAAAAAGTCTGGTCGTTCCTCCCAACACACCCGAAACCCTAGCGCATGCCTTTTCGAGGTGTAGGGGAAGGGGCGGTCGGACTTTTTCGGCGAGTTTTTGGAATTTTCGAGGACTAGGGGTAAGGTTAAATTACGGGATTGGGTGAGGGTCGGTTTACAGGGCTACGGTTGTTGGGGAAGGGGAAGGAGAAGGAAGGGAGGTCGGGGAGGTCGCCGGCGTCGGGGAAGGGGATCTGGGAGTGTCGGCGCCGGTGACGGGTGGCAGTGGGGTTCGGTAGGTGGCTGAGTCGGTGGCTGATTGGTGGTTTTAGTTTTTTTGATTTTTTTTTTGAAGAATTTGATTTTAAAAAAAAAAATTAATTATGGTTAACCAAAAACTAAAAAAGTTAGCCATAAAACCTTAAAAGAGCACTATGTTAAATAATTAAAAACTAGAGTGTCACTTAAGAGAGTTGAAAAAAAGTTTGTCTTTCACGTAGAAAAATTGAATCCTGGAGGTCATCATGTAGAATTTCCCTTTTTTTTGTGTTTAGAGAGACACAAGGGCGGGGGTGAGAATCGATCCTAGGATCCCCTGCATACATGTGAAGTATGACTTCAACTCTTCAAGGAATAAATTTAACTTTTGTCCCCAACAATTAAGGAAATAATTGATTAATATTAATAAAAAGGAGTATATATAAGATTTGCTATAACTTAGAGCATGTTTGTCCTAACTTTTGTCCTGATAGTTGTGAAGTAGATTGTGCTTCATGTAAGCTAATTTGTTCTTCTACTTCATCAAGTGAACATCATTCACTTTCGGGATCAGTTGCATCATCCGCCACTTCATCGGCAACATCATCAGCATCTCCATCAGCGTCTTCTGGTTCTTCCTCCCCCTCTTCATCATCATCCACTGGAGGAGCACCAAAAAACTCTCATACATCAATTTACCCAACACCATCAACACCATCTTCTAAGCCATCAACCCCAACCATTCCTAAGGCACCAACACCTTCTTCTTCTACCCCATCAACCTCAACTCCAACATCGCCTTCAAGCCCTACTCCATCGACATCTTCTCCTCCTCATTCTTCTAATGCTGGCTCTAGAAAGAGAGCTAAATGTAACAATAAAAAGTACGGACAATGTTATAACCAAGAGCATGTATGCCCTGCTAATTGCCCTACTTCATGTCAAGTCGATTGTGTCACTTGCAAGCCTGTCTGCAGTAAGTTTTATCAATTAAACCATAATGCATTTACACTAGAATATTACATATATAGGCCAATAATTAACTCAAATTTTTAGATTTAATTTTTAAGGACTGTAAATTAATAGTGTTGTTGTACTTTTGTTTGTGGTATAACTCATAGTATTATATAGCCACTAAATGTTATTGAGGGAGCCCCAGTTCCTCATTATGAGAAACACTTTTGTTTCTCGATGACATTTTGGAAAATAATGTGATGTTTTTCACTAGTGGGGACCGCGTATGTGTCATGAGTGGGAGCCCCAGATCTTAATACATACCCCATGAGAAACAAAACTTGTTTCTCACAATGAGAAACAAAAGATTACCCATTGTTATGTTTGTTTTTGTACACCATAGACTGTGACTATCTAGGAGCGTTATGTCAAGACCCTCGCTTCATAGGAGGAGACGGTATCATCTTCTACTTCCACGGCAAGAAGGACAAAGACTTTTGCCTAGTAACCGACCCCAACCTCCACATCAACGCACACTTCATTGGTAAAAGAAATGCAAACATGGGACGTGACTTTACATGGGTTCAATCCATCGGAGTCCTCTTCGACAACCATCGTCTCTTCCTAGGCGCAAAGAAGACCTCCGTGTGGGACAATGCCAATGACCGCCTTTCCTTGGCCTTCAATGGAGAGCCAATATACCTAGAAGAAACCGTAGGCTCCCAATGGTCATCCACCTCCACTCCTCTAGTCACCATAACAAGAACAAGTATAACCAACGACCTTATCGTTGAAGTCCAAGGAAAACTCAAGGTCACAGCTAAAGTTGTACCTATAACCGACGAAGGTTCTAGGGTGCACAACTATGGCATAACCGATGAGGATCGGTTTACTCATCTTGATCTCGGGTTCAAATTTCTATCATTAACCGGAAAGGTTGATGGTGTATTAGGAAAAATTTATGCGAATGATTACGTGAGTCGAGTTAATACTCGATTATTGATGCTGGTTATGGGAGGAGAAAGAGAGTATGCTAGTAGTAGCATTTTCGCCACTGATTGTTTGGCTTCAAGGTTTGTTAGTGCTCAAGATGAGACTTCATTGCCAGCCATGGAGCTTGCTAGCATGAATTGTGCTAGTGGGATAAATGTAGAGGTGTACAAAAACTGGACCGGACCTGAACTGACCTGACCCGGACCGGACCTGACTCGGACCCGTTGGTTCAAGTCCGGTCCCGGTCCTTGGAAATCAAGGTTTTCGGTTCTGATCCGGATCTGGTCTAAAAACCGGGGGTTTCGGGTCCAGACCTGAAACCCGGAAAAATTGTATTTAAAAAAAAAATCAAAAATCAAAACAACGCTTCAGTTTCAACTTTTCATTTCTAACCCTAACTCCCTGTCTCCCTCATTCTCACTGTCTCTCAGCCCAGACGCCAAGTAGCCGACACCTCCTAGCCTCCCTCACTCTCTCAGGCGACACCCACCGCCCACCTCACGCTACATCAGCCAAACAGCCACCGCTCGAAATCTTCGGTAAGTTTTTTTTTTCATTTTTTTAAATGTAAATCTAATTATGTTTGGATATTTGGTATTCGAAATAATGAATTAAGTGTGAGAATTTATATGTTTATTCATGTTTCAATTGCTTATAATGATTGTTTGATGTTTGCATGTTGATTTCTTTTTTCTTTTTAGTTCATTTCTTTCGAATTTATGTTTATTTTTGGTTTTTTTAGTTTTAATAACTACTTTCGAATTCTTTTAGTTCATTTGTTTCGAATTCTTGTTGAATTTTGGTTTCTTTCGAATTGTGAGTTTAATTTCTGTTTTTTCTGTTTTTATTTTGGGGGTGGAGTTACTCGGAGCTGGGGGTGGAGTATCGGGGCTAAGTGCTGTTTTTCGGGGATTGGGGTGGTGTTTTTCATGGCTGGTGGTGTTTTTCATGGCTTGGGGTGGTGATTTTCATGGCTGGGTGGTGTTTTCGTGGCTTGGGGTTGAGTTTTTCGAGGTTGGGTGGTGTTTTTAGGCTGGGTGGGGTTCTTCAGGGTGGTTAAAGGGTTTTCCGGTGTGGCTAGAGAGATTTGTGGTGGGTGGGGTGAGGTTGGCCAGCAGTTCAGGGGTTCTTATTCTTATTCTTGCAGACTTGCAGTTCAGGGCTAACAAGGAAGTGAAGGAACCACAGATTCTTGGTGTTTGGGAATTGGGACTTTATAGAATTTATGTAGTTTTGTGATTGATAATTTGGGATTGTATGTAATTATTAAATTATGCAACAGGTCTAAAAATCACAAAACAGGTCCATATACAGTTCCATATGCAGGTCCAACATGTTATTTATTTGAAAAAAACGAAAAAATAACAAAACAGGTCTGTTCAGGTCCATACTCGGACCGGACCTGATTTTTCAGGTTTGACTCGGAACCGGACCTGTTGAATCAGGTCCGGTCTCCGGTCCTCAAAATCCCCTAATTCAGGTCCCCGGTCCCAACAGGTCCGGTCTAGGTCCGGTCCGGTTTTGGACCAGTGTACACCTTAGATCAATGGACCGTGTTGTTTGCAAGAGGTAATTCAATATTATTTCCATGTGATGGGAATATATAAATTACAAAATTTATTTAATTACACTCATATAATAAGTAATGTACATAAATATATGTACAAGGTTGAATGTCTTAAAGAATATTCAGCATGGAATGTTGGATACTGAAAATAGTATGTTAGAGGGGGATGTACCATATGCATGGTACACTCGGAAGTACATTACATATAAATAAAAGAACATTGGGACAAATTTAATGTTCTTTTTTTATGAAGCCTCATTTATATGTAATGTTCTTTATTTTATATGTAATGTTCATTTCACTCATTCATTTTCTCTCTCTTCGATACTCTCTCTCCTCTCCCTCTGACTTCTTCTTCCATTTTATTTCTTGATTTTTATAGTTTTTATGTGCTTAATTCATCACTCACAAACACATTTATACTAGATTTTACACTCTAAAATCCAAATTTCACAACCAAATTTTCGGATTTTTCATGATTTGAGAATTTTGGGTATTCTTTATTTTGGCTAAAAATCTTGCAATTAAGTGTTTAACTTGCTTGATTTCCACTATTAATTCACTTTACAAAGGTTTTCTACTCATTTGAGGTATGACTTCTCTTTCTTTGTTCATCTTTGTTCTACTTCATGAATATGAAACCCTAGGTTGTGCTTCAATAGTGAACTCTCTCTTTGCTTGTTATTTTTACCTATATTTTGTGTTTTGTGATAATGTTTATTGTTCATATAAAGCTTTATTATCGTGAAATTACTTGATTGTTTGAATTTTTGGCACCATTGTTGTTCATCATCTTCTTCCATGGGTTTGGGTAGTAGCATTTTTTCATTATTTATATGTAACGTTCTTTTTCAGAAAGATAATGTTATTTTATATTTATATGTAATGTTATTTTATTTTTAAGTTAGGTTCTTTTATTATATGTAATGTTCTGTATTTTATATATAACATTCTTTTTGATGTACTCTATGTTCGCTTGTAATGTATAATAAATTATTATAACTACGATTTTTTTATTTATAAGTAATGTTCTTTTATTTATATGTAATGTTCTTTAATTTATAGGCAATGTTCTTTTATTTATATGTAATATTCTTCTATTTATAGGTAATATTCTTTTATTCATAAGGTAATGTTCTTCCGGATGTACGAAATAATTATTGAAATTATACTTTAAAATTTAAGTTCGTCATATGCATATTATTATATATAATGTACTACCGTAGTAAGTTGATATACCATTTGACATGTTGATTTTGCATAAAAATTTCTTATAAAACGATTTGTGAATTGATATAGCCAAATTATCCTTTACCAATTAGGAAATTAAGTAGTTTATTATTTTCTTAAATGTTCAGATTATCCTTTACCAACGTGTACAAGCTAACAAATTTTTAAAAAATACTTCGTAACACATAATCGACAAGAATTACCATAATAGCATAAAGAGCCACAAAAGAATACTTCCTTTGGGCTGCAACAACAATGAAGTTCTAAGTAACTACAGTACAAATACAAATACAACAGCTTGGACACCATGAAAAAGCACAACTTCCAATAAAAAGTTCATATAGAAAATTTCCCTTGGATCATAAACAAGTGCAGCTCAAGGACTATAAAGCTGGTTTCCCCTCATGGAAAGGTTGAGTACGCCAAAAAAAAGAATCAACACAGAATGCTGTGCGCAGAACTGAACCCAAAATATCTCAGTTATCTAAGCGAACTACTGAGCCGTTTCCAATTGTTGCAGCACTGAGATGCAATTCAGGAACATCGTTGCTTTCGAAAAATGCATAATGAAGTGCCTTAACACATTTTTCAGCTTCATCATCATTTACTATCAAAGATATGTTGACCTGGAAAGTACCAAGTTAAGTGCCAACACTAGGGCATTGTCTCAAGGACTTTTAATGATTTAAAGTAAAGACACTAACCTTAGAAGCCCCTTGTGAGATCATCTGGACATTAACATTGTTGGTTCGAAGAACATGAAAAGCCTGCAGAGAATACAACACTTGTGAGAAGGAGCTGAAGGCAATAAGTAAATTACAAATAATAAGTGTAGAAGACCACACCTTTTCTAGAATTAAAGACGAATATTGTACATTCCCAATGAGAGATATGATTGATCTGTTTTGCAGCAAGTTAACAACTGCAATATTTTCCAACTCCTCTACTACACGATCGAGTTCCTGCCATAGCACAATAGAGTTAGCTCCATCACCCTTTCTACCATAAGCTTATAAACTTTCAAAAGGCAATCATAAAAAAAGGAAAAATGCATATTTATGGTTTCGATGGGAAACAAATCAAACAATGTATGTCACTCCATACTCTTGCCTGCTGAATAAGTTCTCTGCTCCAAAGCTTAGATGGATCCAACGTCAGTGATATACTCACTTCACTAGTAGCAACAACATCCACAGAGATCCCCAAATCTTCAAATATTGAAAAGACCTGCATATCGATGAGCCAGATTAAACCATGTTAAAAAAAAATCTGTACGAGCCAAGGAAGAAGCAGTACAAAAGATAAAGTAGTCTGACCTTTGCAAGGAATCCAAATTGACCAAGCATGCGAGTACTAACTATATCCAACATGGTAACATTCCGCTTCAACACTATGCTAGTAAGTAGAACCTGTAATTCCATCGAGGAAGAAGCGGTCAATGCCAATCATGAAAGGATTGCAGCCATCGAATAACTCAATTTTATACACACCTCACTCATATCACGAGCCCTGTTGATTAGTGTCCCTGGAGCTTTTGGGTTGTATGAATTTTTCACTCTGACAGGAACATCCCCCTCCCTAGCAGGTCTCATTGATTGTGGATGCAAAACCTACATAGAAACAAACATTATCCATAATTAACTACCATAGCCTTACACTTAAAAAAGAAAGATCATGGGGAAAAAGGGATAAAAATTTAAGGGCATCAAGGCCAGATGGCAGATAGGTTGTAATCTATGAACCACATTATTACCGAAACAATCAAAATGATGGCACTCTGGCACAAAAAAAAAGAGTGCAATCTAACTAGAAAAAGGCTAAGTGTCACAGTCCGACTGTTTTGACACAAGATCATACAACACACTTACACACTCTTGCTCTAAAAAGGCAAGAGTGCAAGCCAAGGTTGTGCATGTTCACAAATATCGTGCACAAACATTGCCTCTTTCCTATTGACGACAAGGGTCAATCTAGGCCCTTAGATGCGTTAAGTGAGACAAACGAGGGCCAACGGCATGAATGAGTATTTTAATGAGCAACAAATGAAGGGAGGTTTAACAAAAAGGCAATATCAACAACAATATGCTAAGATAGAAAGCTTTGAATCTCATCCATTAATTTAAACTCCCTAAAGAGCTTTATTTTAAAAACAAAAAGTATTCCCACTAAGTATTGTGCATCAATAACATAATAATGCTTTCAACAAGCAACATGTGCACGCCTCGAATGGGTGTAATGAGTTTAAAATTAAGGGAGTATTATTTCTGTATCTTTGGATTGGACTTGGGGTAACTAGAGAAAATTAATAGCTACCCACATCCCCCCCCCCCACCCACAAAGTAATTATTACTACTGTACAATCAAGACTCTTCCTCTATCATACTCTCCCTTCTCTATCTTCTATTTCTCTCTCTCCTTCGCCTCTGTATCTCTCTGCCCGATGGAAGCAGCTGGCCACCACCAAAGCTGCCAGATGGAGTTGAGAAGCCTTGCCAATCCAGGCAAATTAAAAAGAATGATTTGAATTGGAGCCATCAATTGAAGTAGTTGAACGACAGCTAAGGGCTTTTGATTTTTCCAGTGAAGGGTTGCTCAATGTGGTAACAATTTTCCAACCATCATGGTGGCTGCCGTCAATGGCCATGAAGTGGTGGTCTTGCAACAGAGGCGGAAGAAGATTTAAGGGATTTTCTTCTTCACCCTGTTGCCAAACCTTAAGGAAAGATTATTCCCTAAACTAACAGTCGAGTAGAATCTACCATTACCCCTTTCATAATTTCTGGAATTCAGGCATGCCATTAAAGGACAATAAGGCTGGGGCCTGGGGGCACACAATAAATATGCCTATAGATTCTACAAAAACATAACGAAACCTTAGGAAAAAGATTAAAGAAAGGTGGATTCTAACACTAGGACCATAATCAAGTGAATTCTTGCCCAGCTTCCTAGGGTTGTAGGCTTGTAGCTCCTCTTTACAGAAATTAACCAATCCTAAGCAACCAAGAATCAACCTCAGCACATAAAAATAGTTAGTGCTTACCTGTGCCCCAAAATAAGCAAGCTCAGCTGCCTCATCAAATGTCAGGTATGGTACAGGTTGAGCTTGAGGATAAATAGTTGGGTCACAAGTTAAAACACCATCAACATCTTTCCATACCTGAGAAAATACAAGCAAAAAATGTTTTATATATAATGGAACAACCTTTTGAGAACTTACATAAACTTTAGGCTATGTTTATCACTTATACAATTCAAAAAATTAAACCATAAATATAAGACAGATCAACCTGTATTTCCCTTAAGCCCAGTGCTTTGCCGATGGTTGTAGCAGTTAAATCACTGCCACCCCTGCCCAGTGTTGTGATAGCACAAGACTTGCAACCCTATAAATTGAAAAAGCAGTTCCATAACGAAACAACACAGATGATCTAATTTCTAAGAAAAGAATCCCAGAAAATTTCAGTAGAGCAGCAAAGAAAACCTTTCCAAGGAAACCAGTGACAATGGGAATTGCAGGATCAGCAGCCCAATCATCATTAAATCTTTTGGCTAAGGCTGGATAGGTTGCTTCCAAAATGTCCGCATTGGTGAAGTCATCAGTTGTAATAAACCCAATATCAAATGCATCATACTGCAAAATTCTAATCAGTATCCCAGTTAGCAAAATTTAACACCGAGCAAAAGAAAGTAAAAAGCTCTGGACCCAAAAGAGATCACAGTATACAAGTGATCGCACATTTTGATTACACACTACACAGTAATCAAAATTCATCATAGATAGGCTATCAGTCAAAAGTAATAGGTATCAACAGTTGCAATTGGCAAAAAATAATGTTTTTTATTGCAGGTTTGTTTGTCAAGACAAATCATATATAATGTCAAGTTCCATAGAAGTATCAGCAGTATCAGGTTGTAATGACATAAACAGATGTTGATTATATTGTCAAAAAAATAAGTTTTAAGAACATACACACTTGTCTTACAACCTTATATAGTATGAGTTATATCAAAAAGTGCCTATTTCTTACACCAAACATGTAATTAAAAGGTGAAAATTTTCATTAATCCAACAAAGGATTGTGCTGTCATATTCTTAAGGACTGCCATAAGACCAGTGTTGCTCTATGGTACAGAATATTGGGCTTCTAAGAAGGAGTACATTAAAAAGATGGAGGTTACACAAATGCGCATGTTAAGGTGGATGTGCGGGAACACTCTAAGAGATAGAATTAGAAATGAGGTTATTCGCAAGAAAGTAGGTGTCCAGGCATTGCAAACAAACTAAGGGAAAATCGTCTCCGTTGGTTTGGGCATGTTAGACGGAGACCCGAGGGTGCACCGGTTCGAAGAGTGGAAGAGTGGAACCATGGAGGGCTTAAAATGAGGGAAAGAGAGACCGAAAATGACTTGGTTGGAAAGAGTTAGAAAGGATATGTAGTATATGGATTTGCATGAGGATAAAGCATTAGATCGTAAGGGATGGAGGAGGAAGATTTTTGTGGATAACTACACGGAATAATCAAATTTGGTTCATGTAGCCGACTCCACTTATGGGATTAAGGCTTTGATTGATTGATTGATTATCATATATAAGTTGATGTGTAATGGAGAAAGCTTGATCTAGATAGAAAACTAATGATTAGGAGTTTCCATTCTGCCATTAACAATGATGACAATGTATGTTCTTTAAAAATTATAACTTTGTCAAAGTTGAAACAGCACATATATATAATCATATAATCTGAAGCTGATAACATACTTGGCGTGCTTTGGCACCGATTTTGTTCATATAAGCGGCGAAAATTCGGGTGGACAAACACTCTCCAAAGGAAACAAGATAATCCTTGGTACGTAGAGTGAGCTCCTTCATCATTGCAATACCCTTGAGAAGCTGCTCTAATTCCTCTAAATGCGCTTTTGGAAGAAGATAAAAAAAAAAAAAAAAAAAGAGTCCAAATTAAAAAAACTACGGGCAAAGAAAGGGTTTACAATCCATACGAAACACTTGAATCATATACAAAATGCTTACAAGATACAACAGAAACGTCAATTCCGAGCTCAGCCACCGTCCTTGAGGCACATAATAATTTAGTTTCAGAATTGAACAGGAATAACAAACAAGCTATTAAATATTATTATGGTTTTCTGGTTACCTATAATGAAGATCCTTAATAAGGCTGAGCTCCGGGATGTCGGACGCCTTCGAAGCTCCGCAACTTACCGCCTTTTCTCCAGCCTATGTACCCAACACATACATAAAATGAATCCAAAAACGAAAGATGATTGAAGGAGAGAGAAAATGCAAACATACATTGAGGAGATTGTTAGTGGTCTTTCCCATGGCAGAAAGGACAACAACAGGAATTTCATCAGGAAAACTGAGAATAAGCTGAGCAACCTCCTTCATTCTCTCAGCAGAAGAAACAGACGATCCACCGAACTTCATAACAACCGTGAAAGTCTTCTGCTCTTCAAAACTACTTTGCTGGGTATATCTCTCTTCCTCCACCTTCAAACAATTAACTGTGAACGAATGATTCATCTTCGTGTTCTTGACAATCGCCATTGATTTACATCCCATCAATTGAAGTTGTTGGGGACAACAATTGAAACCCAAGTTCTTCAACGAAGGTTTAGAAGGGATGAATTTGGGAGTAACAGCAGCCTTGACGCCATGGAAATGCAAGGAAGCCGCCATTAGAGATTGAAGAAGAAAGATTGTCGACGAATATGAAATGAGGGGAGGTTTTTGTGTGTGTTTCTGTCTCTCTCTGTGTTCAAAATCAGGGGGCGTTGGAAAGCATAGGAGAGAGAGAGAGAGAGAGAGAGAGAGCAGTCAAAGGAATGCGGAGGACGAGGAGAGCAAACTAAAATGGGGAGTTGGAAAAAATATGATTGCGTTGCGTAGTAGGGTTTTTGTGTGTTTGAGTCTTCCTCGAGTCTCCGCCTCTTTCGGGTCACAGGATACCCGGACCACCCCTTTCCTCTCTAAACACTTTCACCTCATTTTTATTTTTTTGAAGAAAAAAAAATCTCAAGTGAGTGATGTTGAATAGAGGTGTCGACCTTAGTTGATTAAGGTGTTGGGTGGTATGTGAGATCAACTTTTGTCTATATCATTTGTCTTTGAACTCTCTCTACAAAAAAAAAATGATAATCAGACTAGAAATTACTCACTTATAATGAAATGATAAATCTATTTTAAGATCTAGTTATATGCTTGTAAAACATATAGAAATTGCAAAAGAAACTAAAAAAAGGCCTAACATATAGATTTAATGTGGTTCAAATCCTATGATTCTATGTTTTAACACCGTAACAAGATATCCTTAAAGCTAACTCAAATATTATTAATACAAAGCCCCGTTCATCTAACTTGATGCTTATTAATAGCACCTATCTTAATACTACTTATGGTTGTACCAATGATTAAGGAAACTAACTGAAAAGGTGCACTATTATGGAACAATTCCAGTTGCCTTTGGAAGGTAGAAACACAAAAACAAGTTTCTTTAACACAAGTAACTTTTATACTACTCCTTATTGATTACAGCATACATTCTTGTGAGTAGGGTTGCTAATTGAGCGAGTCAATCACGAGCTAAGGGATGCTCGACTCGACTCAAAAACTTTTTTCATGTGCTCAACTCATCTCGTTAATGTTTCGAGCCAATAAAACCTGCTCGACTCGTGCTCGTTAAAGTTTCGAGTCAAGTCGAGTAACCCACAATTTGCTCGTTAAAGTTTTGCCCTTCTAAAATTATAGGCCTTTATTGTTTTTGTTCACTTTATATAGTTTTCTTTTATTTATTATTAAAGATTTACTCTTTCTTTTTTGATAATATAAATTAACTCTTATTAAGTCTCAAATTTGTTTATGGTAATAACTTTGTTTGTAAATTCTATATTAATAAAATACATTGTCGAGTTGCTCACGAGCTTATCGAGTCGAGTTAGAGCTTGCTCAACTCGTGCTCGTTAAAATCTCGAGTCTAGTCGAATGCGAGTCGAGCCAACTCGAGCCAAGTTTTGACCGAGCTTTTACCGAGTCGAGTCAGAGTTGTTCAAGAGCTGCTCAACTCAATTAGCACCCCTACTTGTGACTATAGAAAAATATGCTCTTAAAATGGGTATGCCAAACATTTCCCCTTAACAGTGTATTTGTAAATTCTGCATTTCTTTACTCACCGGTTATATTGACTGATCTATACCCCTTAACACATAATCATTGTCATCATCACAATCAATTGCTAATACTTCCTCCATTACTCCATGCTTTTGTAGGACACGATTTTAGGAAAATACCGTTGTGTTGAATTCAACTACAAAGTACTACAATAAGCAGATATATGGAGATGCACATTACAAGTTATTACAGAATACTAATCATCAGAATTCAGGTGATTAGATTCAAATGGCAAGCAAAAATTTATACCATATGATGAAATAAAGGAATATACAACTACACACTGAATATGAAGACCACAATTAGGAGTAATCCTGAAGATAATCGTGCACTTCAAACGTATTATACAGCAGAGTACACTCTTCAGAATAATGGAGGAGGTAATAACAGTTATCACAGAAATAACAAGGGTTTTCCCCAGCCAACTTGTCATCCAACGTCACCTTTGTGGCTTTGTATATACGACAGACAGAGCACTTCTTTAAAACCGATTTCAATTGATACACAAGCAAAGGGTAAGCTTCTCGCTTTTGTACATCGTCTGGGGGAATCAATCTCATGTCTCTTATCACAATAACATGTTTGCAATCTCCCTGCATACAGTTTTGCTAATTACATTAATCATAAATCAATCTCAGTAGTCATGAATCAGGAAGCACATGATATTGGATAAAAAGAAAATTAAGGCTTACCTGGTGACAGTACAGATACCCAGAGCCAAGCCGGAATCCCAGGTCACAAAAGCGAGTCCTTTGCATGTCAACTGATCTAAAATTAGGCAATTTGGATATTGGCTTGCTGTCCAAAGGAAGCTTCCGACCTTTTCCTACACCAGACAGAATAGAGTTCCATTTTGCAAGTGCCTCTTTCTTGCTATTCTTAAGCCAATCAAAAATTGGCTCACTATAGTTGATAGCAGAAGGGTTCCTTGTGTCGTTGCAGAAAACCTCCTATAGCAACAGGAAAGTTTGGTTAAATATAGTAATCAGGCACCATATGGATAAAATGAACAAAAGAACCCATGACTTACCTCTATGAGGAAATATCCAGAAGGATCATATGTATCTGCTTTTTGCATAACCATATCCGTCAAACAACGAATCTTATCCCTCAGCTCAGTCAAGGTTTGATTTCCAAGGACCAGAAATTCCTGTGTCTGCAAAGAGGAGAGACAAAGAATGAATATACACAAGACACAAAGACTGATTGTACCACTAGATCAATAGCCTACAGACCACCTACTCCATACATCAAAAAAGAGCATACTTGTATAAGATCCAAGGATCTTCTACAGGTTAATTTGATGTAATGAAAATATATCATAAAGTAACAGACATCAGCAAGTTAAAACACTGAAATATAATCCTAGCTGAATGAATGTAGACACCCATACCTTTTTCCAGGAATGTTTGTTATGATAAAGCACAGATTCTTCTTCTTCTTCTGCTTCTTCTTCTTCTTCTTCTTCTTCTTCTTCTTCTTCTTCTTCTTCTTCTTCTTCTGCTTGAACGCCATAATCCCATAAGTGGGGTCGGTTACATGAACCAACATGAACACTTCCCAGGAGGTCATCCATCCTAGTACTACTCTCAATCATTGTGGCTCATGTCAAGCGATGTGACAAAGTTTTACACTGGCGTCACTGGCCTACTGCAACCCCCCTCCTTTATCCAGGCTTAGGACTAGCAGTGGAAAACCCACTAGCGGAATTCATGGGGCTACCAATCGATTGTAATAAACAATGTGTTTCATTTAATGTTGGAAAAAGGAATAAAAGTAAAACTATAAACTTCAGAAATATATGAAAATCTTCAGATTTCCACTTGTTTGATTATAAGCTTATAAAATAAAATTATGCTTTTTTTTCAAAAAAAAACTTTATGTATGGAGTTGGTGGTCTGTAGGCTAATGATGCGGTGGTACAATCTTTGTGTCTTGTGGATATTCATTCTTTGTCTCTCCTTCTCTTTGAGGACACAGGAATTTATTCACTAGGGGTGGGGGTTGTTTGCTAATTCACACCCACCTACTTTCCCCACATTCTAAAAAAATTCTGAGTCTTCTCAGCAAAGCTCACTATCCCTGCAGTTCAGATGGTTTAATTTCTCTGGGATCACAATGAATGAAATTTAAGATGAAACAATAGGAGTACAATAGAAAAGGAAAAAGGAGGGCAAGTGAGATGCATCAGCTCACTGTTGTTAGCTCACTCTTAAGGATATCATAAATTAAAGTTATACTGTCAACTCCTCACTCCATTCAATGGTATAGAAACAAAGCCAAGTGAGATGCATCAGCTCTCACATATTTCATTGCAGTGTTGTTATTATAAGAGCATATTAGAGTTCCCCCAATTCCCAGCGCAAACAACACTAATGGAATAAAAAGTTGAAAATAGGAGGCAGTGCAAAGACCGTCAGATCAGAGCAACCAACAAATTCATCAGCTATGTAAGAACTTTTTGGAAGCAAACCTTGACTAGACAGCAGAGTGACTTGGAGAGAGTAAAGTAACATCAGTAATCAAATAGATTCAAGGAAAGCACACACCTTGGTAAAACAGCCAGATGAGTCGAGATATTTCAGAGTTTCAATGTTTCCAGATGATAGAGCAGTGGTGTTATCTTTCTCACAACTGATATTTCACCGACAAACAGAAAACAAAAGATAAGAAACAAGAAAGAACTCAACAGATAAAAGAAAGTTCTATCAGAAGAGAGTTTCAAATAGATCCAGAAATAACTTCAATGAATGGAGTTTCACTGATGCCTTTTCCTCTTCCTGCTTCTGCCTGATTTTTGCAAGATGCTCCACTTTCTCAAGATACAAGTCCTGCAAAAACAATTCCACATGAATCTAAGGGTCAAGATGGATTCAATAGAAAACTTCACAATAAAATTTATACACCAGGAAAAATAAGGAAGCTACATTCTGCAGGTCTTGCCCTTCAAACAAAATGATCTAGATAGGTCAATTTTCATTTAAGAAAAAACTCTAGCAGAAAATGATATGAAAAAAAAAAAAAAAAAAAAAAAAAGGAAGAAAGAAAAAAAGAGTTCCTATAAGCTTAATGTTTGAATCATTATTCAACGATGAAGCCAAAATACACAAAAATTGTTTTTTAAATTTATACAGGCTTTTGTTATAGTTTAGGCAGCAGTGCCTTCCATCATTAATCCCTATATACCACACCAAAGGAATGAAACAAATCTTTAAAATTGTTCGCCTTACAAAAATTGCAAGTTGAAATTAGAATCTTAAATGTAGTTCATGTGACCCTTTTTTCACAAAATGTTGGATGGGTCTTCTAAATCCCAAGCTTGGAAGAGGGAATAAGGCATTAGTTCCTAAGAAAGGAGAAACTTTCAAAGTATATACTACAACACAGGGAATAATAATACGAAGGGAGAACAATACATTGTGTTTTTTCTTATCACGATCAATCATTTTCTTCGTCCTCCCATTCTTTGAGCCGGCTTTATTTTTAGCATTTCTCTTCCTCTTCTTCACATTAGTACCATCTTTTTTTCCACAGTAACTTGTGTCAGATGAAGAGCCATTAAAGGACTCACAGGAAGCTGATGTATCAGCATCCAACATTGTTTGATACTCTTCAGCCCTGAAAAACAAGACAGTCAAAAGTCTAATAAACCATAAGTTTTGCAAGCTCAAGCAAAAATCTCAAATATGATCCGCCAATTTATAGCCTAGTAATTTTTATTCAATTGATCAGTCAATCAGATAGTAATTGTGTATTAAAACAACTAATATGTCTATCTTGCCCCTCTCTTAATCACCAAATAAGGTCCTTATGGAAATGGGTTCATCAAACTTTAATCATAGTATCAAACCAAATTGAAATCCCAATATGCGCGTTATATATTCAGAAAGAGGCAAGGAATTTCCAAATACAGTACAATTTTTCTAATTCTCAAAGATCATATCTTTAAAATTTTAAATTTACTAACCCTGAGCTGCATGGGTCTTTTTCCAAGTCTGAAGAAGTTTTATCCTCCCCGTCATCCTACAGAAATAAAATGCAACAAGATGATTTAAGAACCACAACAGAAAATTAAATTCAAAAAAAAAAAAAAAAAAAAAATTGATACCATACCTGAAAAGCAATCCTCATAGCCTCAGCAACTAACTCCTCATCACTGTATAATTTAAGTTGACCCACCCTGAGACAGAAAATTGACAGCTAAATTCAACGGCAACGGTAACAGAAAAATCAGTGTAAAGGAGCTAAAGAGGTGGAAAAACAAAAAGTGACTTACGAAATATCTTCATCTTCGAAATCAGTAGAATCAGAGACTAATTCAGCCTTCAAATTCTCCAATTCATGGAAAACATCGGACTCAAAAACAGAAACCCTAGTGAGGGGGCTTACAAAGTCATGTACAAAGATGGGAGCTCCTCGGGGAATCGAATATGAGGACTCTTCATCTGAAATTCGTTGCGATGACTCTCCATTATCCATTTCTAATCACCAAATTTCTTGGATTCTAACCAATTTAGCATTCAGGCAATAATGCTTTCTGAAAGCCACACCTGAAGTCCAATATGCAATCGCTTGCCTCCTTTGTGATAGGGAATTATGACAGGGCGTTTGCTGATATATTCTTTACACACCAGAGGTTCTATTCTGAGATAAGACCCAAATAAGTAGTTTTTATACTTATTATACAAACAAATGAGCAATTACAAGCATTTATTGCAGAATAAATGCAAGTATTAACTAATATAACTAATAATTTTTAAAAGCAGCTTTTACAAAGCCACAAATCAGTTAGAGATTATTCCGGTCAATAATAATAAGCGAGAGAGCAACATGGCCACAGTACAAGCTATAGCACTCAAGTCAGCCTGGAACTCTGACCATTGGTCCTTTTCTTCAAAGAAATAAGATGAAACCTCTTTAACTCTCTTGCCACCCTTGGCTCTTACCATGAAAACATAATGGTTTGTATAACGTAACCAATGAGCAAAAACTCAAGTGAGCATCTTTTGGTTCTCTGTCTTTTGCAGATTTGCATGAGGATGAGGCATCGGATCATAAGGGATGGAGGAGGAAGATTTTATTCGATGACTACACGGAATGGTCAAATTTGGTTCATGCAGCCAACCCCACTTATACATACAAAGATAATGAAAATGAGATTTATCCATGGCAGTGAATGGAATGCCATTAGAATTCTGGCTAATATACAATTTTATATATAGAGGCGAAGTTAAGCACCACAACCACAACTGCAATTAGCGTTCTCATGATCCTTAAGACGAAACACTGAATGAACATATAACTTAATTTAACAGTTCATCCTCCCGAATAAGCATATAACTAAATTTAGTTTTAAGTATCTAAAAAAAATCTTTATTTTAGTAATAACATAAATTAAAAATTGAAACAAATTCAAGTACCTAACAATATAAATTAAAAACAGACACTTGAATAAAATGGCATTGAATGAAAATTACCGTGATAATCGCTTAATAATCTAAGAGGAGAGAAAATTCACAACCGGAACCCTAACCGCGCGGCTTCTCCTCTAGCGGAACCCTAACTGGTGGAAATTATTTGTATTGAAGCTCAGTAATGTAAAGATGAGGTGAATTCCAGAAATTTTGAGGAAAATTGTTGTTTCGAATCCAGAATTTTAAGGGGAAATTGCAATTTCCATAAAATTCAATGAGGGGGAGGAAGAGGACGGGTCGGTGCCGACGCTAAGTGTCAGCAGCGTCAGTGTAAAGGAGAGCACGACGAAGAAGGGGGAAAGCGTCGTAAAATAACACAAATCTTGGCTTCTTTTTTTTGGGCGGAAATCTTCAAAAGGCTCCAGTGAAATTAAAACCAGAGTACAGTAAGAACCAAATACTGCGAAGTCTGCTACAGTTTTAAAAATACTTAACACTCCGATTTTTTTTTTTTTTTTTTTTATACACAAACTCGGTTTTTTATTGAACTGGAGTGTCTTCAATGTTTTTTTGGCCCTATCAAATTTTTACACTAAAATTGCTCCGGTTGTACATAAAATTGAACCCTTTTTGAGGGGTAAAAGTCGATTTTTCTATTAGTGGTTTCCCTTAAATTCGTCATTTTATCTAGATATTATCGTCTCCTATCACAATAAACCAAGCTGACAATGCCCTAAAAGGGTAGAGGGTGAGATTTGTCGCTAGTGAGGATCGAACCTCGCACCTCAAGGATACGAGGCAACCTCTTATACCACTGCACCAAGAGGTCTCCCTCTCATAACTTTAAATATGTACATACTCGTTCACTGCTTATCAAAATTATATTCACACCCTTTTGAATTTTGATAATAACCCCTATGTAAATCAAGTTTAGCTTTCTTTCCAAATGATACATCTTGTGTCTTAGCACGAGAAGAAGAAGTATCATAAGAAAGAGAAGTGGGGAAGGCAGTTGGCGCCAAATTAGAATAAAAAAGGTGGTTGGATCTGGGTGTTTATGTTTTGTATGGTTAATGAGTTTGGTACTAGTTTAATGTTTAATCTCTAGTAGTACCACTCTTATCAGCTTCAGACTGAGGATAAAGACATAGTAAAAGGGAAGTCTATCCATATTAAAATAAACAACAGGCAACCAACCAATGAATTTCACCAGAGTACTCTCCTTCCTTTAATATATAAAATTAAAAAGATAAACTCCGATCTCCATCAATCTGCTGACGTCACTCCTTGTCATCTATTCTTCTTCATCTTCTTAAACACTCTCTCTTCTTTCACCTCCACCATTTCATTGAAGTTGCTCATCAATTGGACCCTCCAATCAAATGTAAGTCTGTATTATTTATTTCTTCCATTTAAATACTTTAGAGCATTACATTTTACAGTAGTATTTTACATTACATTTACTTTTGTTAATTGTATCAGTGTTTTCATTTTTTCATGATTCCATGAATTATGATGTATGGTATATTTGTATATAGTATATTAAAATATCTGAGTTTATAGTATCATCATATCATAACCAACTTGCTATATTAAAAAGACAAAAAGGCTGCTGCTTGCTATTTATAGATAGTCCAGAATCCATCTAATTAGCTGGATGTCTCCTCAGTGACCTCACCGCCGCCTTGGTTTGTTGTATCATTCATTCATTCGGTTTGCAAAACTATGGACTAATACTACTACTATTACAATAGTTGCTGAAAAGCCAACTTTACAGAAAACAAATAAATTGAGCTGAATTTCAAAGAAAGCAGAAACTTGAAAAATGGAAGCTGCTGTGGAAGCTAAATCTTGCACTTCTTATGGAAAACCCCCTTGGAGATTCACAGGCAGGCCAGTTTCCCAGTTCTTTATCTTTTCTTCTTATTCAATATAATCTTCCTTTTTTTTTTCTTTTTTTTTTTTTGGTGTTTTTAAACTTTAAGATTGAATGGTTTTTATGGGTTTCTGTTTTAATTTGCAGGGCTCTGTATCAATTCCATTTAGTCAAGGCCGATGTCGCCCGAGCTCTCATTCCCAAAGAGTTCAGATTAGTTGAAGCTTTTGGGTATAGTTCCTTTTTTTAGTGGAAATTTGTTTTGGTTCTTTGCTAATCATTTGGGTATTCTACTTTGATAACAAACTTTACTTTGGACTGTACAGATATACACTTGGTGGATTCTTTCTTGCTAACTATGATCATAGTCCTGCTGGAGTCTTTGATGAGGTGCCTACATTTCCACTCAAAACATACTAGACTATTGTAAAATTCATTCATTACTCTAATAACATAACAACTATTACATTTTGAACTCTTTTTATATCTGGAAAGTGCAATCTTTTGGATGAATAGTGCTACTGTTTCTTATTCTTTTGCTCTTTTTTGGGTACTTTGTGGTTTGTTCCAGTTAGTGGTGATTGCGGGAATTGTTTGGAACCCACCGACATCTTGCGCGTATGTTTCTTTCTAATTCCATCTTTTCTTGCTTAATTATTGTTTAATTAATCTAGACAGTCAGCATGATGTGCTAACTGTTGCAAACCAAAAGAAAAGTTACTACTAATTATTTTCATTAACTAGTAAGTAGTATCTCTAATTTTATGAAACCTATGTAACGATATAAAGATAAGATAGTTGGGGGAAAGAACATGATTGAATAAGATTGAAGCCTTATTTTTTATTTCATTTTTTTCTGGAACTTTCAGAATTTACAATATCAGATTGAGTCAAAAGAGTTGGTACTTGGTAGTAATCAGTATGTTCAATAAATTCATGCTTACATGGTATATACTGAGACTTTAATTCTTTTTTTGGATATTGGTCAAACAGATGGGCATCCAAGGTTCTTGTTAACAGCAACGAGGCATGCCTTCATGGACGAAAGGTAGGGGATCGCCAACTTGATACCAAGCATAATTTCCTGCAAGCAAAGGAGAGCCTTTTTTTTTTTTAATGTATGCAAGTTCGTTTCTGTTTTGGCGACTACTTTACTTATAATGTTCAACCTTGTAGGAAGTGGGACTTCCAAGCCATGTTGCTAGGTTTACAAAGGTGGGTTCAGCTAAACATTTATGTTAATTGTCAAATGCTGCGTATTCTCTCTGGAAAGTCTTCTAAGCTGCGGTTATAAACCCGGTCCATTGAGCCATCAGTAACTGAATGTTTAGAAAACTAGTAATCAACACACCAATGTTATGAATATGCAGAAATTTGAATATGGCTTCTTGTTATAGATACTGTACTATAATCAATTCTATCTTACATAGCTTCCTTGCTGTCCAGAGCAGAAACTCACATCAGATGCAAGGACAGAGCAAAGCAGAGCCAATCGCTTCCTAAATATGATTGGTTTAGGTCATGCCAAGCCCAGTTCAAGGATTTATTTGGATACTGAAGTAACTGAAATAAGTGGCTCAGCAGCTACAGCTGAGAAGTTCAGTATCAACCTCGTAAGTTCTGGTGAGTTTGGTGCCATTTGATCAGTGGAGTTTTTGTCGGTAAATGTTAGAATATGATGCTAATCAATGTTCCTGATGCTTTACCTTGCATCAACTTGACATTTTTTAGATCTTAGAGCTGCCTAGAGTTAACTAGGCTATATGGTCATTACTTTGCCTGAATTTTCAGCTAATGCAGTTATGAACCTAGCATTATTCATGTATGCTACTATGTCATGAATATTATGTGAATGATATGCCTTTTCTTCTAAGATATCTCTGTGTTCGGGCTGGCTGGTCTAGGGTATATGATGTTTCAAAGGCTTAAAGACCCCAATTAACAATCTCTGGGAGATAGTTTACGGGCATGTTGGTCTTGTGAAGTATTCAGTTCAGACTTGTGTGATAAATTCTAAGAATTCATGTTTGCAAAAGAAAAGTAGTAATTATTTTCTCTCATTTCCTTCTATAGCTGGTAGAGCTGGTTGTTAATTCTCTGTCAACTGTGGTGTGATAATTGTTTTGATTGTTCACCTTTTGTTTGTGTTTTTTTGGTCTACTTAGTGCCTGAGGAGAATTCCAAAGCATGGTTGGGTCCGTTCATCAACTTGTCACTTCCAAGCTTTAGGTAAATCATCCAGAATATCAGTTCCACCTTTATATGTTGAAGTTTAATGTCTAAAGGTTTCATCTGCTGATTTTGTAGTGGACGTACAGAACATAATCCCAACCTTCTCAAGTACTCTTGCCAAATGGATTGCAGGTTTGCATCTTCCTACAATGCCTGCCTTTCATAATGAGTTTCATATATAATAAAGCGCCAGCCAATTGAAATTGTTAGTATCTAAGGTAGTACTAATGAATGATTAACCTACACAAAAAATAATTTCAAAGACTTCCCTTCAACTTGAATGAATAGTCTTTTATTTGTTTGTCTTATTTTTTCCTAAGAAAAAATCTTTGTAAGTACAGGGTGCGTGTAGTACAGCCACTTCAGATATCCAGGCCATCTCCTACTACTGATCACAGGACTGAACATCAGGCTGCTGTAGACCAGAATTCAGATTCTGCACTTCAAGCTGTGGAAGATACCTCAGAAATAAGATGTTTAAGTCTTTCTGTGATGTTATCAAAACCGATACTGGCTTTGGAATTCAACTGTTTGAATATGAATGTTGAAGATCCTCTGGTCATTTCTCATTGAAATGCACCTTGTCTGTGTAAGAATTATCTTGGTTGCAGATCTATTGTGCGTCTTATCTTAATAAAAAGCTGACTAACATGACTTTCATTCGACATTATGCAGAAAAGAAAAACTGGCCTTTCTTACTGAATACGGAATTCACAAAAGCTTATACTTAAAATCCCCTAGTTACACTTATGTTTTCTGTTTCCTGTGCTTACTCATTCAAGTAGATCAGAATACTTCAGGAAGAGGCTTACCCTCCAGAAAAGATTTAAACAGCACAAGTGACCTCTCTGGCTGAGAAAATGGAGCTTCATGAGATGCTCCTCGTATTGTGGCAAAAGATAGGACATCTCCATGCACTTCTGTCCAACCACCAACCTACAAATTGAAGACAGTTTTCATAAGTATATCCAAAGTTTAGTTCATTAGTTGTTAACCTCTTGTAGAGTTAAAAAATTCTTCAGTCTGAAACCTGACCTGCATCCCCACAAACCAGACTCTGTATGGTACAGTTGTGTTCAGTTTTAGCTCATCAGCCAGCCGTTTAACTAGTGTTCTACTCCCAGTTAGAGGAATTACCGAATCTTGATCTCCACTATGACCGCAAAGGTTAAAGGAAAGATGTCGTCATGGGAAAATTAAAACTCAAACACAAGACATTATCACTGACATAAACAGAAAAGTAGTATACCTGTAAATCAGTACAGGAATTCCAGCCTTGATGAGATCGCCTAGAATATGTATAGTAGGTTGCTCCAGGTCAAGTAGCTCATAATCCAGGATTCTATTTGTTAAGCATGTCAGCAAGCATGCATATCAAAATCATACATTAAGAGTTCAAGACACATAAATTAACATCAGTAAAGTGCTAAAGTTAAATACAGAGGTTCTTCTCCTCAACAAGAAATTAGTCTTTGGTATTTCCAATCCTACTAGTATAGTTGTATACAAATTCAAATTAAATTTAGTATAAATGATGAGAAAGTATTACTTGCTACAAACAGTCCATGAATTGACTCCTACAAGACGAGCATGCATGGCCTTTTGCACATTTTGCCGATTCAAGTATTTCAATGTTTCATCCTCCACACAAACGTCTATTGTCTCACCATCTTGCTGCGGTATGCATGAAAAGATTGAGACAAAACTTTCAGCTGAAAAAAATATAAAATAAGTAACTAATGATATTCAAACTCACATGGGGAGTAAGGAATTTGGATTGGGAGAATATAGATGGCAAGCAAACATCCAGGGTAACATCATATTTATCAACAAATCTGCTTGTTTCTCGGCTCACCAAGCTCATCACCTTAGAACACATTGGTGACACAAATCCTCGGTAGTATTCCCCCACATAACGTGAATAGTTGCAAGCCGAAGTAAATACATTGTAGGTGGAATCAGATATCAATCCATGAGACCAGAAAAACTCTGCCCGTGAATTGAAATCAGTTGTGAACTCTAGAACTGGATTACCCAACTGCAATTGAGAATGGAGATATAAAATAATGTTAAGATGTTTTCATCAATAATAAACCATGGCAACTATGTCAGTAGAAAAACTACAACAAAAACCAAACAATATTTAAAAGAAATATGTGATGTTGCTACTCACTGCAATTCCTTTTAAGTTGAATAGTCTGTCCTTGTTGTATTGAAGCATAAGTTCAGCTAGTTGGGGAACATAATGACCTGTTTATTTAGTGTGCATCAAGAGTTCAAATAATAGACTTGTGTTATTGACTTATCAAAATTGCAGTTTACATTATCATCCGGAAGTATTTGTCACAATGTAAAACTAATTTCGGATAAAGTGAGTGCGAATTAAGATTAGTTCTGCTATAAAAAAAAAAAAAAAAAAAAAAAAAAAAAAAAAAAAAAGAGAGTTACCGGCATAGCTTTCCCCAGTAATGAATAAGCTTTTGTTCTGATATTGTGGGAACTTGAGAAACCATTTTTGCAGAAACGCGAGATTGTCCCTGGCTTTAATTTTTGAGTAAAAGAAACCAAAAAAGCAAAAGAAGCAGTGATGGAAAATATGTCAATCATGAAGTCTTTTCTTTTTCCAAACGGAAAAATACACAAAGAAAAAGAAAAAGGGAAAACGCAGAAAAGGTAAAGAAGAAGAAAACGAAGCCATAAAGTATTGAAGTGGACAAAGCTTGAAAAAGGCAAAAATTAACAAAGGGTGTTGCAGATAAGATTCCTCATTCACCACTGTGTTTAAAAGTTTAATAGTAGTGCGTGGGGCGAGAGCGAGACCCGGAGAAGAATCCGATTTAGATACTTGAATATTCATTCTTCATAAATTTCAATGCAACGAACTTAATTTAGATGAAGCAAAATGTCATAAAAATGGAAGATAAAAACCTGTAATATGATCATTTGCAGTTTGATAAAAGGAAAGATTAGTTGAATATGAGAAACCAACTCCTGCAGGAGTTTCTAAATACAGCATATTTGCTTCTGCAAAAATATCAGCAACTTAAACTGTTAACAAATAATGCAGGAGATCCTAAATACAGCATATTTGCTTCTGCAAAAATATCAGGAAGTTAAACTATCAACAAATAATGCAGGAAATCCAGGACATAAATTTGACAAGGATGAAAGGAAAAAGAACCTTTGTTCCAGCTATACTGATTAGTAACGAGGCGATTTCCTGTAGGCCGAAAAGGACCATTTTCAGAGAAAGCGCCAACACCAAGTGAAGAGCAACCAGGTCCTCCATTAAGCCAGAGAACAAGAGGCTTAGTAAGAGGGTCAATTTCAGCCTCAACAAAGTAGTAAAACAGAGCTTTTTGGTTGATTTCGTCTTGATCATCAGTAATTGTTACATAACCAGAGTAATGCTGGAATTCTACTGAAGGTTGTCCTGGTAATCTTGTTATTTTGTCAGTCGACTCGATTATGATCACACCATTCCCAATTCCTAAAATTAGTAACTGCAAGACTAGGAGCATTCTCATCACCATTGCGTTTTTTTTTTTTTTTTTTTTTGGTAGGAAACTCATGCAAATTAGTCAAAGTGGAAGAGAAAGAGAGACGTTGGGTTGAATAGGATGAGGGTAGGCTGGTAGCAGGTAGAAATGCTGGTCTACTGTGGTGCACTTCCTCAGACCCACAAATTTATAGTGTGTCCAATGATAAGACTTTTCACTTTCAATTTCAAAACAATAAAACTATTCTACTATGGAGTATTATACGATATTACACACATTTATACCGTAAAAAACATTTGTTATGAACTTGTCTAAACTCATCTCAACTTATTGTTTTATGAACATAATAAGGTAAAACTTCTAGCCAATGAGCTTAAATTTTCAAAAATAGAGAACCTAAAAGAAATCTATATGTACCTCTTCTCTTATGATATCATAATACAAAGTACTTTGTATATTGTTGTAACTAATTGTTAGGGACTAATAAACAAGTTTTCTCTAGAGATACATAAGAAATATTATTATTCTTTTGTTAAAATTATAAAAAATGTCCTTTCTTATGAATCATATATCATAAACTTGACTTTATGTTTAATTTTCAAATCAATGATTGACTCTTAACTAACAATGAAAAAGTGAAAGGAGGGACAAAATGTTACCCTTCAAAAGAACTTACCCTAAATTTCTGTTAATTGTACATGAATATACATTTTTTTTTTACGACATGAATATACTTATTTTCTAGTTGTTACCAGGAAATCCAAGTGGAGTGAGCCCTTTTTGTTTACTTTTGGTGCATGAACAAGGCCTATTAAGGCTCCTTCCTACCAGTAGAAAGCAGTAGCAAAAACCTACAAGGATGTTGTTAACTTGTGATAGTGATGTCGCACATGGTTTGATGACCCCATATTTCCACTTTTTGGTTGTGGGTTGTGACCAGCCAAAGTGTAGCTAGGCGAAATTAAAAAAAAAAAAAAAAAAAAAAAAAAAAAAAAAAAAAAAAACAAGAAACCTATACATGTATGTATTTCGTCTCTTCAAGACACATCACTCGGGTAAACATGACAGACAATGACTTGTTTTAGTAATAGTTACGGTATTAAGTTACAAATATGAACACCGCTTCGGATTAGGAGTACATGGGAGATCTTCCCTAAGGTCACAAACAATGAGTCCTTTCATCAATTGTGGGTTACGGACCTCAATTAATTTGGAATCCTTTCAATGTAAAATTGTGTAAGCCAAAAATAAACAGAGAGAGTAGAGCCCAAGTATCTCAGCTATCTAAGTAACTGCTGAGCCAATTCTAGTTGTTGCAGCATTGTTATGCATTTCAGGAACATCAATTACAGTATGCATTACAAACAAGATTGAAAATCAGGTCTAGGATGGTGACTCGATATATAAAACATATAGGAGCCTGAATCCCAATAATCAAAACAGGGATGGCCCAGCAAGTAGGAGAAACTAAGCTATGTACATAAAAAGAAGAAATACATTCTATACAGCAGTGAGAACGAAAGCTGAGGTCTCAACTAGTAAGTAGAAATTACGTGTAATTTAAGTAGTGGCATCAGAAATCAATTTCTCTGCGAGATGCCTCCCAGAGTCGACGTTCAATCCCTAATTTTCTCAGCTCCACCAAACCTTGATCAACTGAGCAAGAGGCATCAAACGAAGCATATTAGGAACCATGTGCTCTGACACTCAAACCATATAGCAAGTAAGCAAACAAACCAAAACAAATTCTTGGCCAATTCAGAAACAAAATGTCAAGAACACTTTTTTTTCTGAAATGAGAGCATAAAAGTGATAGATGGACAGCAATTCTGTGTTTGTATGAGAAACCCACACACATCTAGAAACACACACAAATATGGATCAGAGGTTTATCAGCATGATCAATTTTTCTAAGAGTAGGGCCCTCTTACAGGGTACAACTGGACCATAACTTCCAGGAGGATATTACGTTTCATTTTTAAAAAAGGTTCTTAGAAGAATTAGAAACCAGAAGAGAATTTTTACCGTCAACTGCATCATGTGAGGTTGGTGAATGTCTGCTCCGACCAATCCAAAATTGAAGCCTTTCTTTGGCAATGTCCTTCTCTATACCAAGGTTCAGAGCTCTTCTCCAAAAGTAAGTCAGCCATGCCTATTCATCCAACATTCAATCAGTCAAAACCTTATATCACTCAATCAATCAAAGCCTTAATCCCATAAGTGGGGTCGGCTACATGAACCAAAAGTGATTATTCCGTATAGTCATCCACAAAAACCTTCCTCCTCCATCCCTTATGATCAAAAACCTTATACCACTCACATCAGAAAAATATGGATAACCTAACACCTGAAGCTTACCACATAGGTCATCCCCAAGTTCCTAAATCCAATTTCAGTATAATGGTCACTAGAAATAGATCCATTGATCACTGTTTTGCTTGCTTATTTTATCCTTCACATTAGATAACTTGGTCTGTTCATATAAAATGAACTAAAAGACAAATTGTATCATAAACTCTCAAGATGTCTAAGGTTGCTGTCTTTTGGTCAAAGATGTAGCCATATAGGGTAAAGGAATGAGAGTTCACAATATAAAAACAAAAGGGTTTGAGCCGCAGAACTGACACCACGAGGCATGTGACTCCATTAAGCGTGCAGAATATGAAATAACAAAAAATCAATAACAGTTCCAACTTTGAGAGACACTAAATTAGGACCACAATGGTTAAGTTGAATTTGATGTCAGAACGAATATGAAAACTGGCCACTTCAACAAAAATTACACTCTCCGTGACTCCGTTTCGTAAAATCGCAACATTAGAAATTGCACAAAGTTTTTAGAAAAATACAGGGTGGCTGGTTGGGGACCATTAGGGGATTTTTTTTATAATATATTGTATAGTTAGTAGGAGAAAATATATTAAAAAAAAAAAAAAAAAAAGTGGTGTAAGTGGGGTCATGGGAGAGAGAAATAATAATAGTGGGTCCTTACCAAATAAAGAGGTGTTGCAATTATTATGAAACGGAAATAAAAGCATAGTGTTGCGATTATTACGAAACGGGCTAGCAATGAACATGGAGTAGTTTCTGAAAAGCAGTTTTCTGTCAAAAGCAGTGGATATAAATGATACCTAGCAGGGATCATTGCGAACATAGATAGCATTTGGCAATCTCAGAAAAATTTCAAACACAAAATTATATGCGCTCTAAACTTGTCAAGAAGGAAAATAGAAAAAACCTAGAGTAAAGAAAAACTGAAACGGAAAAGAGCCAAACCTCTTTAAACAGAACATCTTCCGACTCCTCTGGACTTAGCTCTGTCAGCAAAAAGGAATGTCAAAACCATGAAGGCATCAAAATTTAACATGACATCTATCAGATATACAAGTCAGATTCACATTAAATCTAAGAAAATCTCCATGATTTCTAGATGAACAAGAATATATTTCACCAGAATATTGGCATAGCTGGATCATTAAAAAAACAAAATAAAACAAAAATCCGACAACATGAAAAAATAGAAAAACACCATAGAATTTATCGATACTTTCTTAATTCAATTAATTTAGCATCACAATTTGCAAATAAAAAAGTGTCAGCTTACAAACTTAAGAAATAGTAGCCCGGAATAAAGTCAAGAACTTACAACTACTCTTACAGTGGATTTTGATTAAATTTGTAAATAAAGGGCAGGGAAGAAAGGGAACAGATGGTATGGGGATTGGTTTATTCCCTCCAAATCTTTCCATTCAAAAGAAGGAAAATGGATTGCTCAGTTCCAATCCCTTTCTTTCCCACTCCAAATTCAGATAATTGAACATGCATGGATCCCTCAGTTTCCCTTTCTTTCTTCACTTAAATATCCTTTCATCAAAACTCACTTATAAGGATTTTCAACAAAGTATCTGTAGGAACTGAGTCCAAAGAGTATGTCAATGTTAAAGCCTAATAAAGCAGCATATATCTATTTATTCAGTATACATCGTGATTGAGCTTCAAATTTCTCAAAGTTCTTTACTAAAGGTTTTGGTAGATAAAGTTATCATTGTAACTATCTCTTTATAGAGGTCTTCACAAAATTACACTCAACTCTAATGAGGAGTGGTTTCATCCAACAATTAATCTATCTGATACTTTATGATTTAAGAGAAATCAAATCGCAAAAACAGAGATATATACCAAAGGCTTCCATATACTTAGCATCTCCTGGAGATTTGAAATCTGCATGCAAATGAAAATGATACATTAGTCTAATAGCAAAACTTTAACAACAAAACATATGTAGAAAGATTCTCCATGCCTAAAAACCATACATAAAGTACTAGCAAGCTCATAATAACCATTAAAACAAAATCATGATAAGCTTGTTAGAGCCTTTATGAGAAAGTGCCAAAGTTATTTATGAAAACCTGAAATAGATAATCTAGAAGAATTCGGCCGGCGTTGCTGGGCTAATGCATATGCAATGGATTCTTCCACCTGAAAAGATTAAAACCATTTCAAAAGTTAAAAAGAAAGAAAAAGTTAACAGCATATGGAAAGAAAAAAAAAAATGAGGAATGACTGTCACAACAGATTGCATATAGTGCCATATCTACAGGGAAACTGAAAAGAACCTTTAATGACGCAAGCTCTTTTAAGCCCATTTCAACTGATAGCATACTCTCTATGTTTCCATCTCCAGTAAGATCATTGAAGTCTTGGTTGAGCCTGCTTTTATTCTCAGAATCTTCACCACCTGCTCAAGCATATAAATGACATGAACAAGTATTGAGTACAGAATTCATAAATAAACTTCCGTAATCAGAAGAATTAAAAGATATTCCCATGGCTTCACAAAGCTAGGAGACATAGGTACAACCTTTTTCCCAGCTTTCCTCTTTAGCCTTCTGGCCGGCAGAAATAACTAACTCGAAAGGAAGAGGAGCTAATGAAGACCAGTGTTCATATTTGGATGTAGCAATATCTGCACATATACCTGCCAAAAAGTATGAGAATACAGTCAGAATCAACTAAGTAAACATATTATTTACGAAGTATTAAACTTCTAAATTGTAATGTCCAATGCTAAAGGGTGGAGGGCAGAACATAGGCAATTGGCTGTTCTTCTGTTATCAACTCTCTGAATCATTGTAATATGGCATCACGAGAGAAGCCTGGTTGTTCCATGTGGGCAAGAGCACTTATCTTTGCCACTTGTGCAAGCCTTACTACACTCTTCATCCATATGGAATTTTATTGCCGTATGACACTTATGAAAAATGTTCACGTAGAATTTTTTGTAAAATAATATAATAACACACATACCCCAGCTACTGGATCTGTAATAAGGCAACTGCAAAAAGTGACTGCATTCAGCAAGACATAAATAGGGCCTTTTAAAATAATTCCCTCTAGGTTCAAGAAATTACCCAACTTAATACCTC